AAATTTCTAGTGCTCACATCATTTGATGTTTTTGATGATGTCTGGCCAAAGGCAACTGCTATCTAGTGTTTTGAAAATTTCCTATCTCTGTATTTTTCAACTATTCTTCACAACCATGGAACTGAGCTGAGTAATTTTTAATGTGTGTCTGTCCCTGTATGGTTATTCCTAAGAAGCACTGTAATTTTTATTCATTTGGGTGGCCAATAACTATTTACATGTGTCTTTTGTATTCTTTCATTCTTACACTCTTAGATCCTTCTGGTTTTCACCTTAGTTACATTCTAAAAGTTTTAGAGTTCAAGTGTTTCTTCAAAATAGAAAACACTTTAAAAAATATTTTTGATCCCAAGTATTTTTCTGAATAGAGTTCACGGCATAAGCGTATATTGAAAATGAACATGACTACTACTTCTGGCCAGAAAGATTTACATGTTCCCAGTTGATTTATAGAGAATTTCAAAACTGTTTCCACTATATTCAATGTGGTATATCACATTAACATTTTATACCACCAGATGTTTCATTATTCATGTTTTAGTACATCATACTTGACCCAAAGTAGCTCTGAATGCAAATAACAAATAAGCCAACACACAGTACTTGACGGATAGACTGAAATAATGTGGCAGATCTAAACTGCTTTTCCTTTTTTGAGGGGATATTATTAATTGTGATGCCTTGACTATTAGTTTAATTAAATTTTATTTTTAAATGTAAAACCATATTGCAGTGAACTGACTCACCATTTCATTTAATTAATTCTAAACCTCAAGACTTGATTACTCATAGTTCCCTTTTAGTTAATTTACTTGTTCACAGTTTTGACAGAAAAGCTTTCAAACTAATATGAAGGGATGGGCACAGTATAACCAATTAAGAAACTATAAAATTGCCTTACTTTTTGCTCAGATCACTGTTGAGAACCCAAACTCACTAATTTTTAAAATTTATGTCCCCATCAATTTTATAAGTCATGGAGTCCTCCCAACCCCCATACTGCTAGATTAGTGACTATAGATCACATAAAGTTTTAAATCTTATGTTTGTTTAATAGTGGGAAGGGAGTCAAGAAAAATTCCATTTTAGAGCATCCACAGATAATAAAAAACAATAAGCATTTTATAAAACTATGTAGCACAAGGTAAAACTAAACAGTCATTACTTCATAAAGAACTATAAGGACAATCTAGTTCAATTCCTTCATTTTGCATGTGAAAGAACCAAAGTCCAGAAAAGTTGTATGAAAGAATTTTTCCTTTGGTCTCTCTTTGTAGTCAGTGACCTATAGTTTATCTGTGAAGATACATCTTAGAACATTAAAGAAGTTCAAAGCAATATTATAAATGTGAGGATTAGTGGACAAAACACTCAGGTGAAAACCCTGGAGATATAAATCCCCTCCCTTACCTTTTCTCTATGGAGCTCAAAACTCTTCATCTCTAAAATAGAGGGATTGGTTTAGATATTCACTAAAGGTTTTTTCTCATAAGAACTTTTCTCAACACTTTAAGGTGAAGTTGAACCATTTATATTTACTTACAATAATAATAATCAGTCACACACATATCAAATTATTATATGTGGGCATTTTCATATTGTGTGAAATTTTAAGTTCAGAAGAGGGTGTAGAAAGAATACTCAATGTAGGAGAGTTGGTCTCCTCAATACATGGTGTTAGGAAAACTGGTTGTCCATACATAGAAGAAAGAAATCAGACAGTTATCTTCACCAAACACATGAATCAATCCAAAATGAATTAATGACTCAAACCTAACAACTGCAACCATCAAAATCCTGAAGAAAACATTGGTAAATAGCTTCTTGACATTGCTCTTGGCAATGATTTATTGGATATTACACCAAAAGTACAGTAAATTAAAGCAAAAATTAAGTGGGACTATATTAAACTAAATCTTTTCTGCATAATAAAGAAAACAACAAAGTGAAAAAGGCAACCCATAGAATAGGAAAAAAATTTTTTCACACTATATTACCTGATAAGGTGTTATTATCTGAAATACATTAAAAAATCCCTACAACTTAACACAAATCAAATAACCTTATTTTAAAATGGGCAAATCACTTAAACAAACTTTTCTCAAAATGAAACATGCATACAGATAATAGGTATATTAAAAGGTGTTCAGTATCACTAATCATTAGGGAAATACAGATCAAAACAATGAGATATCACCTAACACCTGTTAGGATGGCAATTGTTAAGAGAAACAGAGAGAGAGATAACAAGCATTGTTAAGGATGAGAAGAAATGAGAACCCTTGCACACTATTGGTGGGAATGTAAATTGGTGCAACCAGTATGAAAAACAATATGGAGATACCTCATAAAATTAAAAATAGAATTACCAAGTGATCCAGCAATCTCATTTCTGGACATAAACAAAAGGTATTAAAATTAAAATTTTAATGAGATCTCTATTTTCTACATTTTAATTAGATCTCTACATGTTTTTTGCAGTGGTATCCACAATAGCCAAGACACAGAAAGAACCTAAATGTCTATTAAGGAATGAGTGGATAAATAAAATATGATACATATTTGATATAAAATGGAATATTATTCAGTCTTTAAACATATCTTGCCATTTGTGATAAAATGGATGAACATTGGGTACATTACACAAATTAAAAAAAAAAAAACAGACATTGAAGGATAAATACAATATAATACCACGTATGTGATGTATCATAAATACTCAAACTCATAAGCAGAGTATAGAATGGTGGTTTCTATGGGCTGAAGAAAGGAAAAGACATGGAGAGGGTACAAAGATATACATATACAAGATGAATGCATATACAAGATAAATAAGACCTAAGTTGTACTTCTCCTTTTTACTTTTGAGAAAGACTCGCCCTACCTCTAGGCATCCACATCTCCTAATGGCAGTTATATTTTTCTTTGAAACTACTATATGCCTTATTTTCCTTCAGTCATGTGTGCATGGTGGAATGGATTTCACTGAATTCTAAAATACTAACTTAAAACCTGACAGATTTTTGGGGCTGGCAAGTGGCATGGTGGTTAAAGGCGCTGGACTCCCACATGGCTGACCACGGTTCAAGTCTCAGACCTGGTGGCTTGCTTTCTCACTTCCTCTCTCTCTCTCTGTGTCTCTCTGATCAAGCTGAAAAATAATAATGATAATAATAAATAAAGTTAAATAAAATAATTATTAAAAAAAACCTTGCAGAATTTTTTTTACCATTTTGGCCCATGGCACCAGTACACTAGTAGATGGTTAAGTATTTGTGCATTATTTAACGATAATTAGTTGAATCTACTACACTTTTTGGAGGATATTATTGGAGCATGGATTATTCTGCTATGTTTAGTACGTTTTTATCTTACATATTTTTGTGGTGCCAAATGATATAAACTTTCTAAGAGAAATAATTTCAAATTTATATATTCACTTTCTCTTTATGGCTATTTTCTCTTTACTTCTTCTACTGTATTCCATTATGTCGAACTTAAATAAATAAAAATACATCACACCACTTTTACATCCAGCCTCTTATTATAATTATATTATTTTATGTCAATATAAAATGTTTTTATTTTTGATACCTCAAGTATGAGTATGAGGAAGATAAAAGGGTACAAGATTACCTGAAGTCTTTTCTTGCTCCTGTTTTTCCTTTCTAAGCTGATTCATAGGCAAGACAGCTCATTGTTTAGTAGAAGTATTAATAAGAATATTCTATAGAAAGAGATTATTTCTAGTATTTCAAAGTGCTTCCTCTGACAATGTTGTTTTATATGGAATTTAGTACATGGTGAGTTCTGTCTAAAACAACAGTCCAGAGCTCCGCATGGACATCAGAATACATTAGCCAGAGTCTTGGAAGTTTTCACACAATTTACATTCTACTATTTTTGTTTCCTCTGTGTTTTGAATTGGAAATCAGACCCATTTACAAAGTTGTTTTATTTTTTTATTTTCAAACTGAATATTATAAGATGAAATAATTAAAAGAGTTAAAGATTACCTTGTTAAAAAATACTTATAAATTTGAGGCCAGCAGGTGGCATGGTGGTTAAGGTGCTGAATCTCACATGACCTATCCTATGGTTTGAGTCCTGGGCTTGGAGAACTGAAAAACACACCAGGCATGTGTGAGTGTGTGACCAAAATCCCTAGAGGAGAATGGAGGAGAAGGGATTGTGGCATGGCCATCTTCCTTGGGGGTGATTGTGCAATTTCTCTCTCTCTCTCTCTCTCTCTCTCTGTCTGTCTCTCTCTGGCAAGCACATGCACTGTATGATAAAAAGTCTACTAAAACTTTTAAATATAACATTGATTTACTTTTGGTTTGTTCTGTGTTGCCTAGCCTTATCAAAAGACATGTATCCAATCTTCTAACTCTCTGTATCTCCACTCAGTATGTACTGAATGTCTGCACTCCATTGGAGAAATGTAAATATTCTAAGATTATAATAGAGATGATAAGTGTAGATACCACAGACTCTAAGGGGAGGGAGTGGGTGAGAGAAGGTGGATGGAAGGGAAAAGATAAGAAACATTTAACAAACAAAGGAATATAAATTTCTTTGTGGGAAAAAATGTTTTGTAATTTTTGCTTTATAAAATAAAAATTAAGGACCAGCAGTTGGTGTAACGGCTATGTTGTTGGACTCCCACATAGTCAACCACAGTTTGAGTCATGGACCTGGTGGCTTAAACTCATGCTGTGCACATGTGCATGTATGCCCAAGATCCCAAGAGGAGAACGGAGGAGAACGGATTGTGGCATCGCCATCCCCTCCCTGGGGGGTGTGATTTCTTGCTTTCTGTCTCTCTGTTTCTCTCCGTCTTTCTGGTGAGTGCACGCACCCTTATAGCAAAAACCTCTCCAAAATAATTAATTAATTAATTAATTAAAATTAAAATTATAAAAGAGCAATGCATCCAGCTTTTGATTACATTAAGACATGGAATCCATTTTAAAAGGGATGGTTCTGGTTTTAGGTATAACAGCTGCAGCGATGGCTGAAGCAATGAAGCTACAGAAGATGAAGATTATGGCAATGAACACTCTTCAGGGAAATGGAAGCCAAAATGGGACTGAATCAGAGCCTGATGATCTTAATTCTAATACAGGTGAGTGTCTTAAGGAATCTCGGACAGGTGACTCTTACTATTTTATTGTGTGTTAAGAGAGGAAGAATGAAAGGGGAGAAGTGAATAATGTGTATGCTTTAATTATAAATAGATACTCTAAAAAAATGCTTAAACCTATTGATAACTTGTACACTGAAACTAGAAAACCAGTTATAGGCCAGAATCACATTTTAGAAACATTTAGTTACATTTGTTGCAGTAGAATTAAGTTCTAATTCTTGCAAAGAGAGCCACTGCACTCTCAGCCTGCTAAAGGTTGACCCCTTCCTGTTTTACCCCAGTCTTCTTATTCTATCCCTCTCTAAATACTAGGTTGTCAAAAAAGTTACGGTGCATTTTTCTGATTTTCTGTGCAAAAATGCATAATGACCTTTTCGTCTACCCAATAATTTACCACTGAAAGACAATGCTGAGAACTCCTACAGGCTGACTGCAGTTGTGTCAGTTGCAGTACTACCTCCTTAGCTAAATAAAGGTGCTACTGTACTCCAGATGTTATTGACAGGAGCTGAAGAGAAGAGGTAGTACAGAGAGCAGACAAAAAACAAACAAACAAACACACAAAAAACACAATGGGAGAAAAGGAGAGAAGAGAAAAGTGACAGTGGAGTGGAATGTCATCTCACGTGATACTACTTTTTTTTTTTTCTCCTTTACCCTGTGATAATTTTCTCTTAGCCTTAATCACAAGACCTTTCAAATTTCTTTTCAAAGTAGGTGGAACTATAACTAAAACATCTATGAATGGATAATTAAAGAAATAAGGTTTAATTTTAGTGAAAAACAACCAAAGATGGGCTTAGGAGCCACAGGGTTCCAAGCTAACTTTGCAGCTAAATTTAATACAATGTGATAGGAAAATTGGTAGCAGCCTTAACTTTTGTCTTCTAGAGGGCTCCTAGAAACTCAAGCATAATGGAACCTTATTTTGGAGAGAGGTATGGGGAAGAATTAAAGGAGGTACATTATTTAATTAGGCAATTCTAACTTGACTACAGTATAGCACGCCTAATACCAAATTGCAATATTCATGGTGAATTATGAGAATCGCTTTTCAACCAGTACTCACAGTCGTATTTTCTTTCTGTATAGCCTAGGTGCAATTTTTTGAGAAGCCAATGGAAAATGCATACTTTTTACTGTATTCACAGTAACTGGAATCAATTCATAGATAGGATTAAAATTAACACTAAGCAAAGAAAAATAACGACAATAGTTAGAATAGTTTTCAGTTACTATGTACTAAGTGTCTCATACATAAATTAACCTTATTCTTTTTTCTTAAGAGACATACTTGCCATAGGGCACTGCACTCGCTGGAAAGACAGAGAGACTGAAGGAGAGAAATCACTCCCCTCATGGGGTATGGACACACCACAATCCCTTCTTCATTCTCCTCTTGGAATTTTGGGCACACACCCACACATGTCTGGCCTGGGTTTTAAGCTGCTGGGTCCTGAACTTGAACTGAGGTCGACTCCGTGGGAGTCCAATGATGTAACTATTATGCCATCTTGGGGTCTAAAACTATTTTAATTCTTACCAAAATTCCATGAAAAAGGCATTTGCAGGGACCAGCAGTTAGCATAATGGCTATGTTGCTGCACTCCTACATAGTCGACTGAGGTTTGAGTCCCGGACCTGGTGGCTTAAACTCACACCAGGCACATGTGTGTGTGTGCTCAAGATCCTGAGAGGAGAATGGAGGAGAAGGGATTATGGCATGGCCATCCCCCCTGGGGGGTGATTTCTCACTTTCTGTCTCTCTGTCTCTCTCTGTCTGTCTGGTGAGTGCACACGCCCTACAAAAAAAAACAAAAAAACAAAAAACAAAACTCTAAATAAAGAAAAGCAAAAGGCATTTCCAGTACTCCCATTTTACTGATCAGGAAGTAGAGGCACAGAGTGATATAACTTGGCTCATAGTCATAAAGCTAATAATTTGCAGACACACATTTCAATTTCACTTCTGGTTAAATCCAAAATGTTTTCTCATTCTATATTCTGTCTCCTTTTGTTTGTTTGTTTTGCCGTAGCATGCATGCACTTGACAGAGAAAGACAGAGAGAGAGAGAAAGTGAGTAGTCACCTCCTGAGAAGACAACCACGCCACAGTCCTGTCACCTCCATTCTCCTCTTGGGATTTAAGGCACGCACACATATGCACCTGACATGATTTTCAAGCAGCTGGGTCCAGGACTTGAACTGTGGTCAGCCACGTAGAATCCAGCACTCTATACTCCTTTCCCCCTGTCAGCTCTGCCTCTTCTTTAATGGTGTTTCATAAGGAGAATTTGACTTTATGAAATTCCTAGAATAAACATTGTTAAAAATGAGTATACAGAACCATCTAGTAGCCCAGCAGTTAAAAAAAAGGCAGACCCCACACAGCTGACTGCAATTCAAAACTCAGCTCTAAGATCTGAAAAGCACACTGGGCAGGTGTGTATGAATGTGCCAAATCCTGACGGGGTGGATAAATGTAGGAGAAGGGCTTTTTATCATGTTCACACCCCAGTGGGGAGTGCTTTCTCTCTCTCTCTCTTTTTTTTTTTTCTCCTTTTGTCTCTCTGTTCCTGATAGAGAATGCACACACCCTCTGGAAATTTAAAAAAAAAATAAAAAAAACAACCAAAAAAAAACAACATGAAGATACAAGGAGAAAACAGACTATTAGTTTTCTAGACTTAACTCAATGAATTTCACGTCTTAAAGTGCCTTGGAAGTGACCAGTAATTGACAAGAAGTTTTTTGCAATCTGATGTTGAGTAAGAATTGAAAGTATGGATTGAGGAAATGTTACTAAAATTTTTGATTAATTGTGTTCTTGGGTTAGGTATGTAGTGCATGTTGCTTACAATCTTATTGACATAGATTTCTAAAATTAAAATTTAGGGTTCTTAGTGACTTGGGATAATTAAATCCAACCCTATAATACTACAGATGACTTTCAAAGATGAGAAAGCTACACTGATTTTATAGTCCCTTGATCTTTCTGTTACATTATTATGCATCCAAATTTTGAAAATATTTTCTAGTAAAATGTAAGGTATAGTGGAATTTGTTTCTTTGATATTGAGTTTCAATCAGTAAGCCTAGACTAGAGATGGAGGAGCAGCTGATAAAGGAAATTGTCTTTAATTTGCCCTGACCAAAGTTCTATTTATAAGGTAGGTCCTAATCTGTCCTGACCTAAAGATCTACTCTTGTCATCACTATTTTAACTATATATCTATTAGGGTTTTTTCCTTGATATTCTTTTTTTCTTCTTTTTTTCTAACATTTAATAACTGTGTATCATTACAGCATACCTAATGAATTTTTCCATCATGAATACACTGTATATTGGTTCAGTCAAAGATATTACTATATATATGATTATCAACAATTTTCCATTTCTGTGTCCCTTAAAAGTTTTAATTCTTTCTTTGTTCCCTTGATTCCCTCCCTCTCACCTTCCCCCATTTCCCAAACTCCTCCCACACTGTTTTTAGTATCCACAATTGTTATCCATGACTTTTTACCTTCCAATCTTTTAATTTCTGCCATATGGTGCAAACATGCAGTATATATTGGGTGGGGACATACAATGCCTTTCTTTCATAGTCTGGCTTGCTTCATTTAGTGGGAAATCATCCATATTCATTCACTTTCTATCAAATGCCAGGATCTCTTTTTTTAATGGCTGAGTAGCAGTGCATAATGTATATGTGCTACACTTTATCAACCCATTTACCTGGTCGTTGACATTTAGATTGGTTCCATGTCTTAGCAATTATGCATAATGCTGTGATAAACATGTATGTGCAAGTATTTTTCTGACTGAGTGCATTCTTATACTTTGAGTAGTTACCCAGGAGTGGAATTGCTGGATCATATAGTAGTTCTGTTTGTAAGTCTATGAGGAATCTCCATATTGTTCCCCCCAGTGGCTGTACTAATTTATATTCCCACTAACAGTGTAAAACAGTTCCCTTTTCTCCACAGCCTCTCCAGCACTTATTATATTTTATTTTTTAACATTAGACATTCTAACTGGAGTTAGGTGGTATCTCATTGCGGTTTTGATTTGCATCTCCCTTATAATAAGAGATGCTGACCATTCTTTTTCATAAGTTTTTTGACTATTGGTATGTCTTCTTTAGAGACTTGTCTGTTCAAGTCATTTGCCCATTTTTTAATTGGATTAATTATCTTATAAAGGTAAGCTGCTTGAGTTTCCTGTATATTCTGGCTATCATTCCCTTGTCTGAGGCATAGTTTGCAAATATACTGTCCCATTCTGATGGTTGTCAATTCACACTAATTATTGTTTCTTTTGCTGTACATAAGCTTTTTAACTAGATGCTATCCCCCTAGTCTATTTCTGGGATTATTGCTTGTGCTTTGGGGGTCTTATTTAAGAAGTCTTTGCCTACTGTGATGTCTCCAGGAGTTCCCACCAGTACTTTTACCTTTCTCTTCAATTAAGTAAGGTATAAAAAACAAATGGTTCACTTAAATATCTGAAGTTGTGTCCAATTAATCAAGCCTTAAAAATCATGCTAAATCCACAAAAATTCCAAATGATTAAATATAATTTAGAATTTTGAAAAAAATCATTTTAAAGTATAAGATAAATAATGTAGATTTTATTTCTGAAATCAAGCTGAGTGAATATTTCTTTTTTTTCTTCCCTTCATTGGCAATATTTGCTTTTGCAGGGCACAATTTTAAATAGAAATAAATGATTTATCTTCATCCCATTTATGAAGGTACCTCAAAACATTTTCAAACGGGCTAAGTGGTGGTGCAGTGGTAATTCAACTGGATCCACATGGTAAAGACTCTGGGTTCACATCTTTAGACCTCCCTGAGCGTGCTGAATACATGTGTGTGTGCCTGTTATCCAGGTCAGTTGAGACTGGGGATGGACTGCAACTTGAAAACATTTAAGGGCTACCTGTCTCTTTGTCTCTCTGTGTTTCTATAACACTCTC